CCCCCCCCCGCCTTGAGTGCCATCCTTGCAAACATGACTTTTTATAATATGCGATTCTGAGACCAGTTAACTAGTCAAAGTCCGCCTAATTTTCCTCCAAAATGGCCGTGGAACGGGAGGTGTCTATTGTTGTTTATTGTTTATTTGAACATGTGTAAAGGAGGCAGAGGAATGCGGATGTAAATATCTCTCAAGAATGGAAATGATCTGATTTTGTTCATTCCATGCCTATTTTTTGACATTTTTACAAGATCTCCAACGAAAAACCGTCAAGAATGCCTCCCCTTTCACGAAACCACGACCCTTTAAACTTCCAAGAACGCGACCCACCTTTCGTCCTTCAACCCGACCTTCACGCACCCCCCCCCCAATCTCAAATACTACCCCATCTGATAAATAAGCCGGACTTGCGGTTGACTCTGTGGTGAAAATAAATATGAAGATTATTGTGCGTGATCAAACTCTTTGGTATGCGCCACGTATTCGCTCTTCATTCAGAATTGAAAAGGTGTTTGAGTGGCTGTTTGGCAATGCTCTCGACCAGACAAGGGACGAAGTCATGGTCACCCGACCCTGTGGCTTTCCTAATTTCCTTATATATTTACTCCACCGAATTTCCCCTACTTTTACTAAACCTTGTCCATCGATTCTGCTTTCCAGAATAGCCTGAACATGAAGCTAATGGAATATGCTCAATAAATTTTCGGAGGAAATGAGTCCCCCAAGGCAACGTTGACTGATGTCTTCTTGTGTGAGCCACGCATTTGCGCTCCATTCGAATTGTGGTAAAGATGGATTGCGTATTCGATCAATACTGGCTTCAAAGGACCAGACGGTGAACAATTTGTGCTTGCCATCTCCGCAGACAGGTGTGGTGCCACATACATATGCCACCCGCTCCAATAGAAAGCTTATTTGTCATGGGCAGAAGTTCGTCCTTGGACCAAATGTGGGGTGGGACGCCACCTGCCACTTGACCACCTCTGCCAAAGCAAGTATACGTTGCAGGTAGTGAATGCCAAGTGAAGATGGTCGCGCTAATTGATGATGGAAGCGATCGCACGTAATGAGTGGCCGGTTGGGCTGGTGACGGCTAGCCCGAGCAGACCTCTATCAGCTCAGCCAGTCCAGGCACCCAGGCAGGCAGCCGGTCAATACTGCGTTGTCGCTAGGGCGTCCCCTCACATATCACGACAACACCCGACAGATGGCTGCTGCTTCCCGTAGACATACACAGCTGAGAGGTTCATTCGAATCATTTTTATTACGTTGAAAATCGTTTTGTGAACTTTTATGAACCAATGAAGTGAATAATTCAAGTCATTCGCTGAAAACCACGGCGTAACGCTGCTGATTTTCAATGAGGCGCCGATCTGTGATGCGTTCGGAACGATCTTTGACCTCTGAAAACTGACGAAACTGGAAATGTTGTCGAGAATTATGTAGTGAAAACCACTCTCACCCGTTCCAACATTGCCTTTTGTTACTTCAGTAAATGATTTGTCAAACTTCCTGAAAAGTTCCGCTGTTTGTTTTCAAAGTGGAACCCAAAGGTCAGCTAACAGCTGGCAATAACGAGATCAAAGAATGCCGCTACCGAGGCTGCACTTGCTGGTAAAATGAAATGTTTACTGATTAGCAATAAGGGCTCCTTCAGAGGTCGATATTGCTGGAAAGCCTATTAACAGGGGCAAAAACAGCGTCGCTTTCAATCGATTAGTTAATTGATAAAGGTTGCTTGCCACATTCGCGCGTTTTTTCCCAAGCTATGAAAAAATGGGGATTGATCAAACCTTCACTGATTGACTGAGAACGGTCTCTGAACTCTCCTACGTGATTCTATTTCATGGTGAGAAGGCTCTTCTTGTAAGAGCAGAACCTCCTTTTCGGCTTTAGAAGCCTTTTTTGTTCCCATTTCGGATGGAAGTCAAGTACATGGCGCATCCCACATGAACGAAACAACCAGGATTTCGGGTTTTACTTTGATACTTTTCACGAATTCAAGGTTTAGGTGAGGTGAAGGACGAAAGCTTTACAGCGAGTGACGTTTTGAAGTGACCACATCTCGGGGTTCCGGTTTCCGACTTTCGTTTGCGTGCCATTTTTCAATCTTGACCATCTCGATTCAGTGTGAGCGTCGTACAACTAACTATTTTATGT